AATGTTTTTAAATAAAAAAAAAAATTAAATCAAATTTTTAAATAAACAATTTAATTATTTTTTCTTTAGTGAGAAGAATTAAGAATCTTTTTTTAAACTTTTAAATGTGTTTGTTTATTAAACAATTGTTATTTGTTAGTTGTTACTTTATTTAAAAAGCATTTTGCATAATTCGCATAATTATTATTAAATTATTAGTAAAGATAAAAGGTTTAAAGTTATTTATTCCAAACATAATTTGGATAATCTTATCGTTATAGTTTATTATTTAATTTAGTTAAGTTTTAATTTTATTTCTGCTGCTTTATTAAAGTTATTTTTATATTTTTATCAAGATTTATTTGCTTCTTTTGCGATAAGTTTTCTTTTTTAAGTTTTTTTATAGTTAAGAAAATTTTTTTTAGCGCGTTTTTAAAACATACACAAATTTTCAAAACATGTTAACAGCCGTGGTCAAGTTAAGTAAAATCAAATAGTATTTGCGTGGTCATATTATGACGTGAAATCGCACGCCTTCCTGGCCAAGCCTGCATATCCACAATTTTTTATGTTCAAAAATCTTTATTTTCTTTCGAAGAATATCATCAACAACTCGATCTTTTGTTATAATGTTAATTAATTCTGAAACCCATTTTTTTGTAAAATCATCCGCTTCTTTAGGAACTTTAAAAAAAGCAACTCCAGTATATCTTTTGGAACCGGAACATCCATAAATTGAACAGTTTTCACCCCGCATTTGCAAAATATCTTGAGTTTTTACAAGAAAAATAGTTAGTTTATTAGATATACAACAGGATTTTAAAAAACTTGTGCAGGGTTGGAGATCTGGGGATAGTAAAAATGACATACAATAAGTTAAAACAATCAGTTATTGTTTGCTTCTAGACTATCTATTTCTTATGACTATGGTTAAAGTAACTATATCTTTATCTATTCAAATAGTATAATTTTTTTAACAAAAGTTTATTTATAATATAAACCTTTTTTCTTTTTTCAAAGATTTAATAGCTAACCTTTTAAAACTTTTTTTTTTTTAATATATCTTTTTATTATCATTTTTTATCATTTTGAAGATATTTTGACCCTAAAAAGTTCAGGATATATCAGGATATATATTCAGGATAACAAACTTGAGATTTCAACTATAGGTATCTTTCAATTCTATGGTTATATAGCAATTAAGTAATTTTATGGTCAGCGAAACAAGCAATTATTTAATTGTAAACTAAAAATATTTAATGTTAAATTGTTTTAACTTGATAAACTATTTAATTTTACAAGCAACATTTTTTTAATACTTAAAAATCAGCTATTGTGATAAAGAAAAAAACAAACATAAATTTTAAATTAAAAAAATATACTTTAGGATGTGCATGATGGATGTTTATGCAGCCCTGATCACAAACCTGACCCTGACCCCTATTTTTTATAAAACCCGCCCTCAGTCAAATTTTAACCCTGGTCAAATTTTAACCCTTACTAGTGGATAGCTAATCATGTGAAACTTTAATTAATATACCAGCAAATAAAGGTCATTCACAAAAAATACATTTTATCCTGTTTCAGCAATATATTTTCTTTCTCTAGCATTCTCTCCTACTTTAAATATTGTTTATTTGGCTCAGCAGAGTGAATAAAATGCATATCATGCAGTTTAAAAAAAGATGTAATACATAGTTTACAAGCAAAACAAAGAGAATGTTGTTTGAGAAGTTCATTGACCCAAAACAAGCTCACACTAAAAAGACTACTTTTCAGTCAATTTGGGAAAATAAAAATATTTTTTATCTTCACAACAAAGAAAAAAAATGCAGCAAAATAAGTTTTAATCTCTAGAATTAGGTATGCAAAAATTGCGTTTTGCGGGACAAAATTTTGTGCTAAATTTTTTTTCAGAAACATATATAAAGCTAGATTACTTTCAAAAGAAAAAATAGTTAAACTCAATTTCATATGATATTTATGTATGATTGGTAAGTTTTGTATTGAGTTTATTGATTTTGAAAATTAGGTTGTTGTATTCACAGCAAATTATTGTTGAAGATATGCTTAGATAGTTTGCAAACCTATCCAGATAGTTTTTGATCCACATTTCCTATGTTCTTGTCAAATTTCATTTAAAATAAAAATGTAGCAGATAGCCTAAAAAGTGTAGGACTTTTGGTACCTTTTGGTAATTTTTGCTTTTCAGAAATCGTTAATGGCGGATATGTGGACGGATTTCTATAACTTATTTTTTTTATTTAACATTTTATTTAGATACTTGTTATTGTTTGTTTAATCACAAGTTTATAGTTAAATATTAAATTGTATATTGAAAAAAATCTTCAATTTTATATTTAGATTTAAACATATTTAACTTTAAACATGCTAAAAAAAAAAGTAAATTAACTAAATGGTAAATTTAAATACAGTGCATTTTAATATATTTACATTATATATATATATATATATATATATATATATATATTATATATATATATATATATATATATATATATATATATATATATATCCTTGTACTTGTATGTATTTTTTAGTAGTGAGGGCATACTATTTGCTTTACTAGCTACTATTTTACTTGTTTGGCCAATTTCATATCACTTGATATATAAACACAATGTCTTTTTCTAGTTTTGACTTTTCAATTTCCAATAATGTATAAATATTGTTCATAAAATACGAATGTTCTTTATTATTTGAACCAAAATGTATAACTTTACATTTTTTCAAATTTAACCCTAATTTCCATTTTGTAGACCATTTGTCAAGTTTATTTATATCATTTTGAAACAATTGTGAATCATTTTGAGAAGAATGTTCTTTATTATTTGAACCAAAATGTATAATTTTACATTTTTTCAAATTTAACCCTAATTTCCATTTTGTAGACCATTTGTCAAGTTTATTTATATCATTTTGAAAACAATTAGGCACAATTATCTTATTATCATCAGCATATAAACAACATTCAATAATCATCACATCATAACATCAAGCCAATCTTTCACACTTTCACCTAAAACCACTTGTTGCTAAGAAACAGACTATCCATATAAGAAGTTTACCAGAAAAAGTCAGTAACTTGGATAATAACTTTTTATGTGAAACGCTATCAAAAGCTTTTATTAAGTCTGTGTACAATACATCAACCGGTATTTCATTATGGAACGCATCTGCTAAAATATCTAGGTATTCTAATAGTTTTGTTGTACGGCTCTTGCTTTTTATAAAACCATGTTGTTCATCTCAATGGTCTTCTCAAAATGATTTACAATTGTTTCAAAATGATATAATTAAACCTGATGAATGGTCTACAAAATAGAAGAAAATAATAGCGAAAACCATTCTTCCATAAAAGAAAACTCAATTTATGGCTTCAAAAGGTCAAAAGCTAAATTCAAGTTTTATTTTGAAAGCTTTTTATTCAGCAATTAAATTTTAAATTGTATACTAACTTTACTTGTTTTAATAAAGACAAATTTATGTAAGAGGAGTAAATATTTTTGATAGGTTTTGATAGTGTTAAAAACTATTACCAAAACATTTTCTATTTTTAAAATACACTCATATTTGTTTGTGGTCTGAAATATAATTTTGGTAACTTTTCATAAGTAATAAAAAATTTTTTGATTTTAAATATTGATTTTTATTTTTAAAGCTAGTTTTTTTAGTTTAAAGGCTGAGAGGGGAGGGAAGGGGTTGTAGTGAAAGGAAGGGGGGAACAGAGGGGTAAAAACACGCCTTCCCATAAGTTAATGTATAATGTATTATGACATATAAATCTTGTAAAATTTAATTTTTACTTTATGGATTGTAAATTTTATACTAATTACATTCATTTTAAAAAGATAATTTTTTATTATGGATTAAACACTTTTGACTCTAGGGTGTGTTAAACTACTACCACCACATCCTCCTGCAAACAGTTTTTTCAACAATTCCATATATCAAAAATTTGGTACCTAAAACCTCATAACTTTTTATAGAATTGTTCAATTTTGATAATTTTTTCACCATTAAAATACTGTATTGAAGCTCTTTCTAATAATTAACTATTATTATTATTATTATTATTATTAATTAATTAATTAATATTTAACATACTTTGCTCGTTTAAATGCTATTCAAAATCACAATAAAAATCATAATAACGAGAGTTCAAATTCCGCGAAACTAATATTTATTAACATACCTTTTCTTTTATGTGTTTCACAACTAAATTCTTAAATCCCTTCTTGTCAAGCAACTCCAATTCATTTGGTAATTTATTGTATAATTTTATACCGTTGCAAAGGATTAATTTAAAGTTATTTGGAGTTTGCTCCATGTCTTAAAGTTATGTATCAATCAATATATTTTCACTTTAATAAAAATTGCATGTATTTCAAACATAAAAAAATGGCACATGTTTAAAAATGCTTCTAAACAGCACTGTTATATATTTATTTGTATATACTTTTAATTAACATAAAGTTGGATATGGATAACATTTTTTTTTATTATAGATGATAGTATATTTTATATATTTTATACAATATTGTTTAAAGTCAACATTTTGAAATCAATTTTTTCTATATCTTAGTAAAGAAGTCTTTTTTTTTTACCGTAAAAGTTGCAAACATGTTAACTTTTAGTTGACCTAGATCCTAGGTTAGGATTATAAATAAGAATACAACTTTTTATTGTAGTTTACATTTTTTTTAACCATAAATATATAATTTACTACATATAATTAGTTTTTAATAATAAATAATAATAAAAAAATAGTTTTTTTCAAAAACAAAAAAATAAGGGATGAACATTATAAAAATTTTATAACTATTAAGATTTAAACTTATCAAATATTTTAAAAATATGTACATATAAATATGTAAAGTGTACAGTATAAAACTAAAGATCTAAAGATTTTTAAGACTCCATACTTGTGTGGAATGAAGTTTTTAGAGATTTTAGATCTGAGCACATAGTCTAGTTTTTTTATTAAGAATCAACCTTACTTGATGAATCAATTGATTAATAAATTTCTTAGCAGTTATGGATGATAGTCTTACACTTGATAGCATCTTACAATTCTTTAACTTTTTTATTAAAAATACAGTCTAAAAATATATATTATAGATAGTAAAATTATGATACAATCATCAATAAATTCTAAAAAAATGTTTTCTGTAATATACAATTAATAAAGTGATATATCTCTTTTAACGATATGTCTTTCATCGATAAAAAAAACAATAAAAGCAAATAAAAGCAAAAACAAAAATATTTAAAGTCTGTTATACGACATTCATATTTTTTAATATTTATGATTTTATATATCTTTTTTCTTATTTTTATTGAACAACCAAAAGTGCACTCACTAAAAGCTAAACTTTTTAAATCATATATAAGTTTAAAAATTTAAAAATTTAACAATATTTTTGGTAAAAAAAAAATATTTTCTAAAAATGTGTAAGTTAATAATTTATTTTTATAATAACATATATAGTAATCATTTTATAACTATGTTATAATTATATTACAATAATATAATAATTATTATATATGTTGTTATAAAAGTAAACTTTTTTACACATTTTTAAAAAAGTTTTTTTTTCTTGATTATGACTTTGAAAACTTTAGGTCCGCACAAAAAAAATAATCGGTAATGTTTCAAAATATTCGGGCGGAACATAGTTCGAAAAATAAATTTTGCTTTTTTTACGGACATATTTCGCGTCACGGTAAGGGAGGAGGTGTGAACATCCTGGTTAAACGCACTTCCGCGGTGCTCTGTGACAAGGCTGTTAGGTCTTCTTGGGGCACCTAAATAACAAATTAAAAATATATATATATATATATGTATATAACTTTAATCTCTTTTTTGTCAACTTTTAGTAAATGAATATATATATTTTTTTTAATTTTACATTTGTTGGTTGTATTACAACTATATATTGGCAAAAAAAAATTAAAAAAATAAAAATAATGATAATAATAATAAACTTTCACAAATATAAAATAAGGTATCTGAAAGAAGATCAAAGGATCTTGTCGTCAGAACCTTAAATAAGTTCAAACAAGCATTAACAATATCAAATTTTTACAAATTTCATATATATATAATCCAAATATATATTTTATAATCCAAAGAGAGATCACGCGGATCTACTCACCAATATTTTATATAAACGTATACGTGAAGTAAAGAATATAAAATCAACAAAATAAGTAAGAATAAACTTTTTACAAATATAAATAAGAAATGGCAAAGTTATTAATTATATTATCAATAATAACATAATACGTCTTCTAATGAAAAAATTAGGGTTTTTAATTTACTTTTAAAAAAACGAAAAGTAATGGGTAGTTCGAAATCAAAATTGGGCAAAACAATTTTATTCCAAAGGTGTGGTGCCCGATAGACAATAAAAATTGATTAAAGTTCGTTTGACAGAAAGGTTCATTTAAAAAATCAGTATTTCTCAAGTTGTATTTGTTGATGGGTTTTGGAGTGAAAATATATCTTTGAAGACAGATTGAGACAAGTCATTTTTCCACATGTATACAAAGCATAAAACATTATATATATTTAGCTCGTATATATTTAAAATTCTCATTTCAATAAAATAATGTTTTGCGTGAGAAAAGCGATTTGCTAAGCAGATTAAACGGATAGCATGTTTCCGACGGCGATAAAGACGTTGCAACTTACTTTTTTCTGTACTACCCCAGGCGATATTAGCATAATTTAAATAACTGTGTATAAATGAATAATAAAGTTTGATTAAAATTTTCTTATTGAGGTAGACTCGTGTTTTATATAAAACTCCTATATTTTTTGAAATTTTAGTGCTTACGTAGTCGATATGATGATTCCAAGTGATGTTTTCATCAAAGTAAACACCTAAAAATTTTGTTTCGGAATCCCTTTTTATTTCATTTTGATCAATAAAAATTTTAGGTAAGTTTAATGGCAAATATCCTTTTTTGGAAAGTGAATGAAATAAGGTCCACTTTGTTTTATTAGAATTTAGAGTTAACTTATTACATTTAAACCAACTCGATACATGTATAAGCTCTTTGTTCATTGTTTTAAAAAGTTCAAAGATATCACTGTAAGAAAGAAATAAGTTAGTATCATCTGCAAACATAATACTTGTTAGTTTAGAGGCTTTATTTAAATCATTAATATAAATTAGGAAAAGGAGTGGACCAAGAATTGAGCCTTGTGGGACTCCACATGTTATAGAAAGACAATTGGTGTGATAATCGTCATTACTCGGAACAAATTGTTTACGATTTGACAAATAGTTTCAAACCATTTTAAAACTTTATTTTTTATTCCATTGTGTTTAAGTTTATGGATTAGAATTTGGTGGTCAACCGTATCAAAAGCTTTTGATAGATCAATAAAAACTCCTAGAGTATTTTGTGATTTTTCAAATGATTTTGAGATTTCACGTACAAATTGGATAATTGCATGTTCAGTTGAGCTATCCTTTTTAAAACCGAATTGATTAATGTTAAGTAATTTATTAACATGAAAATATTTGTATACTCTGTTATATATAATTCTTTCTAAAATTTTTGAAAAGGTGGAAAGAACAGAAATAGGGCGATAGTTACTTATAATTGATTTGTCCCCTTCTTTAAAAATAGGAATAATTTTGGCAATTTTTAACAGTTCGGGGAAAATACCTTGATGGATAGAAGCTTTAAAAACTTTAAAAAGAACAACTTTTAGCTGTTAAAAACAATCTATAATAACGTTTCCATTTATTTGATCTGCTCCAATTGCTTTATTTTTTTTTAAAGATTTGAAGGCTCTTTCAAACTCTTCAAACAATAATTCAGAATACAACTCAACTGAACCAATGCAATTATCAATGGGTACTAGAAAATCAGTAAATAAAGATTTGGTCTTTGGGATTTTTTTAGAAAGTGTTGGACCTATATCGATAAAAAATTTGTTAAATTCTTGAGCTATAGTTCTTGGTTCGTATAAACTTTTGTTATCGACTCTAACCATTTGTGGCAGAAAACCTGAGCATGATTTTTGTTTTCCAATAATTTCATTCATTATTTGCTATGTGCGTTTTGCATTTTTAAATGTATTGAATAATTGGGAGTAATAATTTTTTTTAGATTTTTGCGAATTTTTTCAAATAGATTATTGTAGTCCTTGTAAATTTTTTCGTTTTTAGGTGCTTTTGTTTTCAAAAAATTTATATATAGTTTTTGCTTAATTTTGGACGATTTTTTAAAGCCCTTAGTGATCCAGGGTGTATTTAAACTCTTAGTAGTTATTTTATTTTCAATGATTGGGAAATTAGCATCGTATACAGAAAAAAATGTTTTGAAAAAAGACTCATAGATACTGTTAGCATTATCATTAAAATTTATGTTATTCCAGTGTAGTAATGAAAGTTGATTTTTGAATAAATTAAGGTAAGCCTCATTATAAATGCGTTTTCTAATTACTCTTTGTGCGGTTAAAGTTTTTTCAGAGTTTGTACTATCTAATTTTAGGAATATAGGCCCTATATTCCTAAAATATAGGGCCTATATTTGTAATCGGAGTCTAAATTTTCATTTAACGTAGAGTAATTTGTTCAGGGGCGTGTCTAGGGGATGTCTGCTACGTCGTTGGACGTACCTAAAAAAATTAAATAAAAGTTTTTTAACTTGATTATATTGTTGAAAAAAATCTTACTATATGTAACTATTAAAACCATACTACAGCTAAAACTAAACAAATTATGCACGGTTAATTATCTGAAACGGTTGGAAAAAAATTAAAAACCGGAAAACGGTTCAAATTCCAAAATATTAAAAACCGGAAAATATTATATCGGTTTCATAATTTTGCGATTGTTAAAAAATAATAATTACAATATTTTGATGGAGGTTAAACTAACTTTTGAGTTAAATAACTTAATTAGAAACTTGAATTGAAATACCTTATTTTATTTAGTTATATAAAACTTTATTATTTTAATTTTTTTTTTCATTGGTTTAAAAAAAATTAAAATAATTATTTTAGTTAAAACAAACTTTGGACTTCCCTTATGATATACACTCTGAGTAAAATTTTTATCAAATTTTATTGTTTAACTATCACCAGGAAGTTAAATTAGTTAATAACAACAAGTATATATTAAAATATATTAATGGACATCCCCAGTTTTATTACACTAGACTGTGTATCATTTTAATAACTTGCATTTGAAGTAATAAATAAGGGGCTGTTCATATGGATAAAATCATCCCGCCTAACCGGGACAGAAAATCAACCGGGGTCCCGCCTATCTTAATAAACTCTTATAATTTTAACATCGCGTTCGTATGTAAATTTTCTCAACCCGCCTAGGCGGGATCTCGCCTATGGACTACCGGGATCCCGGTCAGGCGGGGTGAAAATTCTTCATATGAACACAAGTAGAAAATCACCTCGGCTCGACTGGACAGTTTTGTTAAGAAATTCAATGACCATTTAATTATTTTTAAGTTTAAATCGTTCAACCACGTATAAAAACAAAAATAGTTAATAATTTTATATAATTAATTAAATAATTTGCGCGAATGATTATATATAAACAAATGTCACATGATCTTAAAAACGTCCCGCTAGAGCGAGATGTTTTTTCCATATGAACACAGCTGAAATTCATCCCGCCTAAACGGGGTACCCCGGTTAGGCGGGATGTTTTTTATCCATATGAACAGCCCCTAAGGAGAAAAACAATTTCAATTGTGAAAAATAAATTTTGGACTTCCCCTTTGACAAACACCCTGAGTAAAATTTTTGTCAAGTTTTATTGTTTAACTATCATTAGGAGGTAAAATTAGATTGTAACAACTAGTATATATCAAAATATATCAATTGACATCCCCTGTTTTATTACACTAGATTGTGTATCATTTTAAGAACTTGCATTTAAAGTAATAAATAAGGAGAAAAAAGGTTTCAAATGTAGAAAATAAATTTCGGACTTTCCTTTTGCTATACACCCTGCTTAATTTGTGTTTTATTAAATTAATTAATTTTATTAAACATATAACATGGCCGATGATTACTTCAAAATGTCGCTTAATTCGCAAGCTAAAACAGCATT